GCCTGAACATAACCCTAAGCACACTGTAAACCCTGAACAAGCCACAAGATAAAGAGGAGAAAAGCCACAGGTTGTTGTACACTCCTCACTAAACTCCAATACCAGCATTAAGCTAAAAAAAAGTTTAAAAGGCAGCGGAGGTGGAGTTTTTCATTTCCAAGAAGCAGAGAGCGCGTCCACAGAGCTGAGCTCTTGCCAGTACATTCCGTTTCCCTTTCTGCCACTCTTGGTTTTTGCAGTGCATCATTTCCTGTATTACTTTTGCACAAAGTGGTCTTATCAGCTGGAAGTGCAAAATAAAGATTAAACCACGAGTCAGCAGATGACATAGCCTGCATGTTTCTTCCCCAAATACATTGTGCCCTTCTGGGAAAGTGGGAGCTATTTCCAATAGCTGAGTGACCACCAGCCCTTGAAAGGTGTGTTTATTCACAAGGTATGGGTGAAACAGAAGCCTAAGCCAAGCGACAGGACACCCTCCAAAAGGCAGCCTGGAGTCAGTTTAAAGGAAATTGAGTTGTTACCCACTTATCTGCCATTCTTTACATATCAAAACCCATGCACTTTTTATTACATGTTCTGTCTGCTGATGGATAAGTTGAAAAACAATTTCTTTTAAATGCCAGTGCTGCTTTATTTATCTTCCTTCACTTCTGTTGTCTGTTGTGTAGTGTTTGTATTAACCTACAAACCTGCATTAAGCCTGTGAGAAGCTTATTAAAAAAAAAAAGTGAGCATTATAGATATAGCTGTTCAGTCAGCCTTGTATTTAAACTTATGTACTTAGGCAAAATGTCTTCAAGTGAAGTTCTATATTTCTAACCCTCAAAGAAAGGATAGTTAATTCTGTCAGCAACACTAAGCAGACAGTAAAATATTCAATGAGAATGTTTTCAAATTCCCACAGAAGATCCCATAGGAAACTGTCCCACTTTGCATAAATGACTGTTTTTGGTGGGTGGAGAAAGGGTTAGGACAATTAGATGATCCTCTCCCAGAGGATGGGAAGTGAAACAACTCCTAGCCCAAGTTTCAGGCAAACAAGAAGCAGTTCTAACTTTTCTACTAATTTCATTATTTGTATTACAGGCTCAGTGATGCAGGCAAAAAGGATCCTATTAAATATTTTTAATATACGCTCAGTATAGTTTGACGTAAGAAGTGGCAGGAACCACAGTGAAGAGAATCTACATAATTGTTAATGGAGAAAACTGCCTAGCCTTTGACTACAGTTTAAAAATTCAACTTATCTTACTTATTCAATGTACCTCCTCCCAGAGTCCACTATTTACTGACAATATAAAGGAATAACAAGCAGAGAGATTTTAATTTGCTTCTTGAAAAATACTTAGTAACTTACCTTGTCTGAAAGACACATCTTTTCAGCAACTCATGTACTCAGTACAGTATTTAGACCTTCCTTACAAACAGAAAAAAAAAAGATCAGATTTTGGCAGAGAAGCAGGGAGCTGTCACTTTACTCCTGCAAAAACAATTTCTATGTCTTACTAAAAAGCATGCAGTCTAAGCAGCTGTAATGCTAGAATGTGTTACCAAGATTGTGCACTAACTTCCTCTGGCTCCCTGTTCTTGGAGCAAACAGCAAACAGTTTTGATTTCTTTCTTCAAGCGATGTGACTTGTAAAACAAAAAGTCCAGAGTCTTCTGCTGAATTACTCTGGTTTTAATCAGAGTTCTTTCTTTGCACCTTCTTATGGTAGAAGATCAGATCTTGCTCATCTTGGAAAAATGCACAGAAACCCAGTAGAAGCCTCAGTGGCATTACAATACACACGCAAAAGAAAGCAAGTTTCATTTCAAAGTGCTGTAGAACTCATTAGAGTTTATACAGAACCTGACTTGGCTCCCCTTGTATTTCTGAAATAGGAAAAGAAGAAAACCAAAAATTCACTCTTTTATATGTCGTCTTGGCATGTTAGAAAGGATTCAAGAAAACAAATATGTAATCCTGTGTTAATTTCTGACACATATCTTACTGTTTGAGGAAAAAGGAGCATACTGGTATTATACACTTTAATATCCTTAATGGGAGTAGGTATCTTTTTTTCCCCTCA